ACCCACTTTGGGCAGCCTTAGTATCCTCATCTGGAAAATGGTAATGGTAATGGTGATAATAGTTATCTTCTATATGGAGCTACTGAAAATAAATTGAGATAATTCTTATCAAGTGCTTAGCATAGGACCCAGTGTTCAATGACTGTTAGCTATCATTATTATTATTGAAAATGGGAGTCAGAGAGACTTAATCCAGGACTGTTCAGAGAACAGAGTACCGTGCCTGAGGAGAGTCTGGTCCCCAAGGCTAGAATATTTTCATGGAAGATGAATGCATATCGCTGTCCTAGCTTTGCCGTCATTATAAGTCTCTGATTCTGTCTCCTTGTTTGACTCCATGCTCCGTAGGAATCTTCTGATCATAATTTGGATTCAATTTGTATTTCCTATAGAGAGAGAAGGGACTGAGGAGAGGATTGACCGTCCAGTCCCCATCATGGCTATTTTTCCTGTTATAAAAATAATTGATGAATTGGTATTCTGGCTTACACCTTAGTCTCTTGGTGTTGGGATAGCATCCACATAGCTCTGGGCTTCCATGTAATGGGTTCTTGGATCTGGCTCAATTCTCCAGGGCTCTGCTTCCCTAAGGCTCCACCTAGGGAGGCAGTAGCCTTCCCAAGCCCCATCTTAGTTACTAAGAGGCACTAAGTCACTGAGGCAGCAGGATCAGAAATCACTGCTTTGTAAGCAGGACTGTCCCTGTGGTCAGGTTTTGTTCTCCCTTCATCTTTGATAAAGTTCTCTTGGAAGATGCCATTCCAGTACCAAGGGGAACAAAGGAAGAAAATGTGGGTCTGTCCACAGTTGGGCAGAGTTCTGCAGGCATATGAGGTCAGATGTGGGGTGGTGAAGGGATTGTAGGTGAGAAAACCCAGGGGGATTTCAGCCTGAACTGAGTTAGGGCCTCTTGTTCAGACACCCTCACCTCCCATCCCGTGTGGTGTATCTACTAGAGCTTGCTGTGGTTCCAGTGTGGGGAATGATGCATTGGGTTTTCCAGGCGAGATGGTACTCTCCCTGAGCCCCAGGGCCTGAGGAGGCACACAAGAAGGGGCAGTAGAGGACCAGCCAGCAGTCTCTGAGTGCCCTGTCTGGGTGCCAAGCCCTGCTAGATTAGGGCTATCCCAACAGCTGATCCTGTGATCCTCTTAGGAGGCAAATGAGGATTAAAGGCAATCTCACCCCAAGAGCTGGGAATCCCCACGTGGAGCCACCAAGAGCTGTCATCCTGCCCTGTTCTTAGGCTGAGACTGACCAGGAGAGGGCCTGGAAGAGGCCAACATATCTTCAAAGGAAGCCATGCCGTCTTGACTATGGATCCTCATCCACTCCTCTAACCTCCACCTCTTCTCTCACCTGACCCTGCCCTCTTTGGAACTGCTTTCCAGGCACTTCCCACCAGAGTGTTACAATTCTTTAAGATTCTGACTGGTTGTCAGCTTCCCTGAAACCCTTGGCTGACCCACCTAAAGTGGGGATAGGACCATCCTATGTGCTTCTGCAGCCTGTCCCTATTGAAACACTCATTGCATTATGTGGCAATTGCCTGATTATACATCTGTCCTCCCACCAGAGCAGGAGCTCCTTGAGGGCAGGGACTCTTCTTCATCAGCAGAACCCAATATGTAGTGCTCAATACATACATTAAGGAATTATAAGGGATCAGCTCCACTGTGTGTCCCCAACTAGTTTCCTCTTCACTTGTTAACTCTGCCTGGGACACCCAAGTAGGATAATAACCCCTAACATGAAGTCTTTCCGGGGCTGATGTCATCAGAGGTTCCCTGAGAGGTTAGGGTCTAGGATAATACTAATATTATCCTAATAATAATATTATGGTCCTAATGATGCCAATATTATCTGCATTCTGAGTTTGAGGAAACCGAGGCTCAGAGTTGAATGACTTGCCATGGCCGTGTAACTAGGGATAGAACCCAGATCTTTGAACTCCTAAGTTCAGAGCTCCTTCAGCTACTCTCCAGCTGTTTTAGTTTTTAAATTTAGTGTATTACATCCTGCATGTAGGCTAGGTATTGTTCTCTTCATTTTTCTGAATAGGAAATCCAAGTTCCTAGTGTGTAAGCAATCTGCCCTAGTCCACACAGCTAGGAATGACAGAGCCAAGATATGTGCCCAGGTCTGTATGACAGCAAGGCTCCTGCTCTTGTCTGTACCATGCTGCTTCTCCCTCAGTATGGGAGGGTATGGGCTGAGAGGAATTGGGGCGAGAGTGGATGGATAATCAGGGAGGTGAGAACAAAAGCTAACCTAGCCCTTTTGCCACCCACCCCTTCCCACCCAGGCTGTGGGAACAGTGCCCTGAGCTACGAGCTGTACCTTGGGGGCTTCCCTGATGTGACCAGTGTGGATTACTCATCAGTAGTGGTGGCTGCGATGCAGGCTCGCTATGCTCATGTGCCCAACCTGCGCTGGGAGATCATGGATGTGCGGGCGCTGGGCTTCCCCAGTGGCTCCTTCGACGTGGTGCTGGAGAAGGGCACGCTGGATGCCCTGTTGGCTGGAGAGCAGGATCCCTGGACCGTGTCCTCCGAAGGTGTCCACACTGTGGACCAGGTGCTGAGTGAGGTGAGGGAGCAACCAGAGACGAGGGCAGACCAAGAGGTGGGGATGAGGGGTTGAGGCTTCAGGAGATTGGAAGAACTCGGAAGCCAGAAGGAGACATGATTTGGAGTAGGTGGTGCATCACCCTCAAGACTGTGGTTACCTGAAGGAAGGGGAGGGTTAAGCTGGGTGGAGATTATAGAGGGCTGGAGTGGCCAGGCTCCCAGAGGCTGATGATTGGCTACTGGGTTGCCATAGGGATGAGGTAGCAGCCAAGTTCCAGATAGGTAACACAGACTGGGAGGGTGAGCGGTTGGCAGGAAAGCAGTGCCCCCTACCCCTGACATCACTCCCATGCTCCTAGCTGTCTAGAATATAGCTCTACCCCCATGGAATGACCAAAGGCAGAGAAGGAGTCTCACTCTTTTGTCATAGAAAGCCCTAAGCTACTGGATGTAGTATATGACCTGGGAGGGCATCTGGGGCAATACTGACCTTTGAGAACCTGGAGATGGACTTCTCACCAATGGCTTCTCTGTCTGCTTTGCAGGTGAGCCGGGTGCTGGTCCCTGGGGGCCGGTTCATCTCACTGACCTCTGCTGCCCCCCACTTTCGGACCAGACACTACGCCCAAGCCCGTTATGGCTGGTCCCTGAGGCATGCAACCTATGGCAGCGGTTTCCACTTCCATCTCTACCTCATGCACAAGGGCAAAGAGCTCAGTGTGGCTCAGCTGGCCCTTGGGGCCCAGATCCTCTCACCCCCCAGACCTCCCAGCCCACCCTGCTTCCTCCAGGACTCAGATCATGAGGACTTCCTCAGTGCCATTCAGCTGTGAGGCCAGAAGCATGGTCTTCCAGCCGTCTCTGCCTTTCTGCCCTGGGCTCCTCAAGTAGTTGGAATTCTTGACTCAGAGCTTAGGGTTGCATCCCAAGGTGCTCACATCCCAGGGGCCTCATGCCTAAGATAGAACTGATGGGAGCAACCCCACATGAAACAGTATAGCCTAGGTCAAACTAGATCTCAAATCTCAGGTTTCCAGCTTTTTTCTTGGGTTCCTCAGATCTCTCCTGGGTTCTCCAACTTCCTCCTCCACCATAATGAACCACCAGTGATTCATCCACTGGGACAAGCTCAGCACAACCCCTCTGCATGCCAGCCAGACTCAGAGACCTGCATCCCTAGGGCCTGTAACTGACCCCCATTCAACCTGGATTTTTCCACAGGAGGCTGCAGACTTCAAAGCTAGATTGCTTTATGCTTCTGACCCCAGCTGCAGCCCCAACTCTGGTGACCTATCCTGCTTAGCTTGTGTATTTACCCAAGGAGGCTACATTGTAATGATGTTCTCAGGCCAGGCTGGCCTGCCTGTGTTTACTTGGCAACCCTTTCCTGGCAGCAACATGCACCTGAGATTCCCAAGTACCTGCCCACCCCTCCCCTCTGCCCCCAAAGGGATTGGAGCCATTTTGGCCTGGCTCCTGAGCAGACCAAAGCAGCGGCCACACACACATAGGGAGGTCTGTGTTTATTCACACACTCCTGGTACAGTGAGAATGGGGGAACGTTTACAAAGGAAACCCCTGGGTTGGGAACATCTCCAGGGCCACAGGTGTCATCCAAAGGTACAGAGCAGTCCCCGTTTAGGTTTCCAGCGGCAGGACTCAGGGGTCCAAGGTAAAATCAGACCTGGGCCCTTAGAAGGTGGTACCTTGAGGAGAGGTGTCTGCCAGAGAGCTGCCTGGGGTCAGGCGGGGGCAGACTGGCCATGTGATTGGTTTCCATGTTGGGGGCTTATCCCATCCCAGCCTCAACACCCGTCCTATCTGCCAGGCGCAGAAGAGTGTAGCCGAGACAGTGAGGGGAACCATGAGGGGAGCCAGTAAACAAAGAGTCGGATATAAAAATACAAATGTGCTGAGGAAGTCCCTTAGAAAGAGGCTGAGGCTGGGGTCACGCCAGACTGGGGTAGAGGTGAGGAGCGGCCTGGAAGGCTGGGCTCAGGTGGGTGGGAAGCACATGCAAATACGCAGCCAAACATCCCTGGCCGCGCGCACGGTCCGACACCCGGCAGGTAGCCGGGTGTACAGACCAGACCGGCGGGAGAGGGGCGGGGCAGGGGAGCCGTGCAGGAGGGGGCGGGCGGGGGGCTGAGGGCCCGGGTCTCTGTCCGTTCCGGTGTGCGGGGTGGGGCTGCGGCCCGAAGTTCTAAAGTGCCTGAGCGCAGCGGCGGGCTCCGGGCCGGTCCACGCCGCCGCTACCGCCGCCGCCGTGGTGCTGAAGCGGACAGCTCCGGAGTGCCTGGCGGCGGCGGCAGCGAC